TTAAAAGTTTCGAATTAATTAACGATCCTTCACAAGGGGAAAACGTTGTTACAAAAGCTAGATGTACCAATCAAAATACAAGTATAGGAAAATTCAAAAAGCTTGACAACGAAGTCATGTTATAATAGCTATTCAGATGTTTAAAATATGGGTAGTATTACAAAAGATTTTATTCTAACCAATAATTACTAAATTATATGATAAAATTTAATATTAAAATTAAAAACTGCTAATTTCAAAATCAAAATTTAATCGCTATTAAGTTTACAACGATAATACTACTTGGATATATATATATATATATATATATATATATATATATATATATATATACTATATATATATATATATATATATATATATATATATATATATATATGTGTGTGTGTGTGTGTGTATATATATAGTTATAATGAAATATATATATATATATATATAGTTAAGTAATGAAATATATATATATATATATATATATATAGTTAAGTAATGAAATATATATATATATATATGAAATGAAATATATATATATATATATATATATATATATATATATATATATATATATATATATATTAGTTAAGTAATGAAAAGTTTGGTAATACATATGGATAATCCCAAGGAGGATGTAATCCAGAAAGCTCAATTCTAAACCAAAAATTTAGATTTTAATTATTAAATATTTACTCCTTCATTGTTATTCATAATATTAATAATGTTAATAATATTAATATTTATTGTCTATCTTATATTCACATTATATTTGTTTCCTATTTTATTCTGTTGATAATTTTTAAATCTTTAAATTAATGTCAAACGTTAACAGGTAAATATATAAATCTCTGTTTTTTCTTTTCAAATTAACCGCAATATGCCCATTTATGTTAATTTATTCTTCCTTTTCTTCTACCTTTTATTCTTACCCCACTTTCTTTTCACCTTTCTTTCCTCACACCCCTGCTTCTACATCTGCTTTCTTATATCTTTTCTTCTCTTTATCTCCTTTCCTGTGAGATGACTTATCAAATAGGTCACTGTCTGATTTAAAATTATTCCTATCTCTCCCTTCCCTCTCTAATTTCGACCATATCTGTCGTCCTTCTCCTCTCCCCCTCTCTATCACCTTACATCAACTTAAAACTACCCTTCAAAAGTGTTTAAAAATAATACATAAATTTAAAATCATTTTTTCAATTTGGAAATGTGTTCTGTTGAACCAGGTAAAAATCACCTACCTGGGGAAATAAAATATAATCAATTGACCCTTAAGGTTGTTAGTTTTGTAATTAAATTGAATTTATATATATAAGACATTCTTAAGAAGTTTATACATTCTTTTTATAGATACAAATATTTCAGTAAATGCTCTGTTTTTATAATAAACAGTATTAAACAACATTTACCGGCCTGAATGTCCGAGAAATTTTCATAGAAAATTTTCGTCCTCCGACAGGATCGAACCTGATTACCTCAACATCGGAATAGACTATTTCAAACCGCCCCTTAACGGCTTTCGTCAGCCACTAAGTACTTGTCTTCGGAGCGTTTATTTATATATTTTTCAACCAACGGATCGTTTACGGTATATATATATATATATATATATATATATATATATATATATATATATATATATATTGAACAATAAAAAAATATTAAAGAATTAAAATCTTTAGACACACTGGGTTGTAGATTAATACTCTTTCGTTTTTTTTAATTATTATTTCATTTAGATTCCTCGACTAGTTTCGGCCAAAATGGCCATCATCAGGAGAAGAAATATTTCTGCTTGCTTGTAGCAGTGAACTACAGAAATGAATGTTTTGTTGGAGAAAATGAACTTTTGTCTGTAGTTTTCATTTGTTTTTTTATTTTTTTATCTTTTTAACGTGAATCTTTTAACATTCCTTGTGTTGGTCAAACAATCTCTTTTAAGTTGTTATTTGAGATAAGAGCTTGATGGATCTATGCTTCTCTGAATTCCCGTGGTCAGTTTGACAGTTTTATTGGTCCGGGAGAGGGGATGTGTCTCTGTTTAGTGTTTGTGTGTGTGTTATTTGGTTCTTAGGGAGTGAGTGAGTATGATATGTGTAAGCGTGTGTATTGCTGTGGGTGTGTGTTATCATTTGGCTCATTAGGGAGTGAGTGAGTATGATGTGTGTAAGGGCCATTCAGATTTTCCTACATATTGTTTCTGGCACAATGTGCATTCTAGGAGGTAAATTATGTTATGAATTCTACAGTTAGAATCGTGGTAGATTTTGAAAGCAGATTTAGTGATTGAGCTAGTGAATGAATTCGTGTTTTTAATATGGTTGCAACATAAACTTCTTTTGTTGTTACATGGTTGGGAAAATCCTGTTGTTTTTGTTCTTAGTTTATTACGGATTACCTTGTCCCCTGAAATGTGGTTACTACCTATGATTTCTTTTAGGTTCTTAGGTCTACGATATGCAAGAAGGCCGGGTTCCTTAAGCAGTTTTTTTTTAGGTCTGGTTTGAGATGTAGTATTTCCCAGCGACGTTTGATTATTTGGGATAGTGGAGGCAGAGTGGGATTGAAAGTGGTTACTAGAGGGATGCGGCTAGATTTATTTTTAATCTTGTACATCAGGGTGTCTTCTCTAAGTGTGGAAATGGCTTTATTTATTTGTTCCCTGATTAGGTGTTGTTTATAGCCACGTGTTGTGAATTGATGCTCCAGATTTTCAATGTGTTTATTTAATTCTTCATTGTTGGAACATATCCTTCTGAGTCTAAGTGCTTGTGAATAGGGAAGGTTCTCTTTGAGGTGTTTAGGGTGGGAAGACTTAAAGTGTAGATAGTTGTGGGTGTCGGTGATTTTAGTGTGTAGTGTCGTTTGTAGTTTCGTTTTCATCTATGTACATGCGGGTGTCTAAAATGTTACTGATGTTGTGGATTTTCATAGTCAAACTTAATTGAGTCGTGCACTGTGTTTAGGGTAATAAGGAATTGGGTAAGTTTGTCATCACTACCCGTGTATACAAAGAATATATCATCGATATATCTTGCATAGAATACGCAGTCGCTACCAATGATTGGATAGATATGAATCTCCTCAAATTTTCCCATGAATATTGTAGCATATGATGGAGCTGCAATGGTGCCCATGGCACAACCTCTTATTTGAAGGTAGTGTGCTCCATTGAAGTTGAAAGTATTCCATGTAAGGACATGCTCCATGAGTTTTATGATGACTTCTGTGGGTGGTCTTGTTTTCTTCTTTTAGTAAGCCCTTCGATGTGTTTAATGTTTGAATAGAGTGACCTAACGTCCATAGTCACTAGAATAGCATTCTCTGGAACTGTTTGTATGTGATTAATTTTGTTCAGTAGATCTGTTGTGGCTCTGATGTAGGATTTTACTTCCTTAGCTAGCGGTTGTATGTAATGGTCTATGTATTTGGAAATTTTTGTCGTGTGGCAGTTGAACGATGAAATAACCGGCCTTCCTGGGTTGTTGCTTTTGTGTATTTTCGGAAGGAGATAGAAACGAGCAGGTGTAATGTTTGTGGGTGTAAGTGCTGTGCATGTATCCTTGTCGATTAGATTGTTGAGAAGCATTATGTTTAGTGAACTAGTTAATTCTTTTTGGTATTCGGGAAGGGGATCTGTAGGTATGCTTTTATAGGTTTCTTTGTCGGCTAGCTGTTTGTTGGCCTCTTTAATGTATTCTTCGATTCCACAGATCATTTTCGCACCCACTTTGTCAGCCTGTGTTATGATTAGGTCATCTCTATGTGTCAGCGTATCGAGGGATATACGTTCCCCTTCAGTCATATTGTGACGTCGTCCCCCCACTGGTCACAGCGTCGACTGTGTCGTTCGATCTCGTTCGCGGCGCCAATTGTGACGTGACGTGGTCCGGGGTTCTGATCCTATGATCACGACACCAGTTGTGACGTCTTTGCCGCGGCGTCAGCTGTTCACCCTCGCTGCTCCAAGTGTGACGTTCTAACCCTTTGGTTAGATGAATACCAGCCCTCGTCGTTCCCAACCCGCTTCCAACGCCTGGTTACCAGGGTAACTGCACTGATCTCCGATCTGCCTACCCACGTTGTGATTAGATCTTAGACAGACGGGACCAAACAGGATTGGGCCGCATGCAAGCTGAGTCCAACGGGGTGATAACACACAAGAAAAATAAAACTCACAAGGTCAAAAATATTGAAGAAAAAAGGTAACAACTTTTTATATCTATTTGCTCGTTACACAAGATTATTCCTACCTCCCGACCCGTTCTGTGGACCGTGGCACCAAGCTTCAACCATACAACTTTAAGGCTTCGAGTTGCCTGCTCTCAGAAATTTGCATTTCGGGGTGGGTTTGGTTTCGACACTGGGCGCTGATCTCACCTGTCGTTCACGGCTGATCTCTCTCGCCGTCCGTGGCTGCAAATAACTCTCTTCTTCAGAGTCTGAATTATTGTTCACTCATTTCTGCCGTCAGTGCGCGAATTAACTTTTTCTTTCGGCTTCGGTTGGACGAGCTTATTCACTTCGGCTTGGGTTGGGCGAATTTCTTCACTTCGGCTTGCTGACGAATTTCTTCTTAGGCCAAACGGACCGGCCTTTCTTGCCCGAAAAGGGCGAATGAACCGCCTGCCGTCCGCGGCGCAACTCTCTCTCGCCGTCCGCGCTGCAACTCTCTCGCCATCCGTGGCTGCAACTTAACTTCTTCTCTTCGGCTTCGGTTGGACGAGCTTATTCACTTCGACTTGGGTTGGACGAATTTCTCTTCTTAGGCCAAACGGACCAGCCTTTCTTGCCCGAAAAGGGGCGAATGAACCGGGCCCGCCGTCCGCGCACGAAACTCCCTCGCCGTCCGCGGCGCCACTCTGATTTCTGTCGGTTGGGGTCCCGCTTTTATTGATGCAGTCAAAAACTGGGGTGGGTCTGTCGGCGCCAGGGTTTTCTTGATAATTCTAAATACGTATTATTTCTGATTAGGGATTTACTTACTTTTCACTTTCACTCCTACTTCCTTACTGTGCCTCTGGGGGGGCGTATACCCGCTTCCCCTGGTCCTTCGTATATCAGGTGACCGCTCTCGACCAATGGGGTCCTGGTCGGGCATCTTTCCTCCTCCCTCGCACATCATGTGACCGCTCTCGGCCAATGGGGTCCTGGTCGGTCTCTCCTCCTCCCTCATGTATCATGTGACCGCCTTCGGCCAATGAGACTCTGGTCGGTATCTTTCCTCCTTCCTTCGTGACGTCTTTAATCGAGCGTGGACAATCCTTGGCTTTGTTCCGGGGGAAGAAACACCTTGCTAAAAGAAACAAAAATTTAAATTGTCCTTTTCTTATGTGACCGAAATGACGATCCCGGTTTCTTTTACACGCGGTATTTGTCAAACATCCTATCGCTAATTTCTCAGACCTGCTGGCGTTTCTCTGAACGCAACAAAATATTTCATTCTCCTCCGGCCGATAATAAAAATCTGTATTATCTCCTAAAAACGACATCACCTTGGGTGGCTTTTTCCAACTCTAGAAATTGTCTGGCTTTTCGTATTAATGGTTTTGTTTTCATATCCTTAGATACACTTCCCCATCCCCTTAGACTTTTACTATCATCTCAATGACACCCTTTTCATTTGTTACTTATCAATATTTTTTTCATTGTCCCTAAAATTCGTTTCTCCAACCAATTGATAACAAACTTCCATTTTTCGTGGACACGGAAGTAGGTCAGGTGCTTGACCTGATATTTTTGACATCTGATATGTGCCAGTCGAGCGTGTATGTTTTCGCTTACGACCTGGTTTCGTATTATTTATTTTTCTCCTTTCTTTCCTCTTCATCTTCTTTTCTTTCTTTCTCCCAGATCGCCTGAACGCAATTAAAGAATTATTCTCAAAACCCAAATATTTTTCAGCTCTAAATAATTATCAAATGGTTAACAAACCGAAAAAACAAATCATATATTTATGAATATCTCTTTTCAGTTTTCTAATTATGCATGGTGGCACAATATTGTCACGTGGCAGCTTACGTGCTATTGTTTTCTTTATGTCATTGCTACGGCTAGTTCAAATAGTAATGTCTGTGTTTTGTGGGGTGTAGATATATATATATATATATATATATATATGTGTGTGTGTGTGTGTGTGTGTGTGTGTGTGTGTGTGTGTGTTTATAAGCAGGTAAGGTTTTATTTATATATTCAACACGAGTTAAAAAAAGTATAGGAATAAAGATGAAAAACTGCAACTGCAATATCTAAAAATATTTATTTACAGTAGATTTACTGGTTTCACAGTTCTGTGATTTTTAAAAGTTAAATTGCGATGAAGTGAATTGTAGCTGTGCGTCTGGCTGGAGTTGGAGAATTCTTTCTGTCTTATGCTGAAAAAAATTGACTCTTTATAAATTCAATCTGATTGGTTGATTATGATCAGGCATAGTAATCCTTTGTGCCAAAACTTAATGATCATTTGTTATCAAAAAGTTGTAAGTACAATGAGCGTGGCTAAGGACCACAAAATTATAAGAAGTTCATGGCAACAACGTAGTAGAAGTGTCAGGGATTCAATTTTATTTGACCTTAGTGGCAATACCCAAAAGTTCTATATACGAGGATTAAATGTTTGTGCGTGTGAAAAATTGGTTTTAGCGTTTCATACATTGTGCAGAGTCATGGTCCAAGATCTGGAGAAGATGCCGAACTATAATTTCCAGTTTCTTCGAGTCATTGTTGTATAGGAATTCGACATTAATAAAAGCCTTTGTTAGCTGGTGCAGCGGGGTCAAAGAATTTGTATCTGAATACGCTCTTTGTCGATGTAAATAACAGAACTTTCCCATCAATGCACAACCGGTCCCATGCCATAGACACGTTTCTACATGATTTATAGCGTAATTCACCAAGGAAATATGAGAAATGTATGTGGTAACTCATCGACTATTCATACATCCTGGACAGGAAGTTGGTTATCGTCATGGGACTTGTCCAGGTGTTAACTACTTTTCTGTGTCAAATAGAGTGACGTAATATATATTTATAATGTTAAAAATAGGGAGCAATGAAGAATTCGGATTTTACCCAAGGGTAGTAGTGATAGATAACTATATGCAAAACTAGAATAATTCCGACACTGATGATTGTTGGTTTGATCTTTTTCGTTATCTATCTATCTATCTATCAACGTATGATCATATCTATCAATCAATCTATCACAGTATGTTCATATCTATCTATCTATCTATCTATCTATCTATCTATCTATTACAGTATGTTCATATCTATCTATCTATCATATCTATCTATCTATCTATCTATCTATCAAAGTATGATCATATCTATCAATCAATCTATCTATCTATCTATCTACCTATCTATTACAGTATGTTAATATCTATCTATCTATCTATCTATCTATCTATCTATCTATCTATCTATCTATCTATCTATCTATCTATCTATCTATCTATCTATCTATCTATCTATGCCATTCTGTTCGGTATCAATGACTTTCCGTAATATCTATCTATCTATCTATCTATCTATCTATCTATCTATCCTTTTTGTTTCTTTCTTACTTATATTTCTCAGGCATATTTTTGCACGCAGCCGTCCTGTCTAGGGATGAATCTCTGTAAATATCCTTCTCGCATTCGTTGACATGTATAAAAAGGGTTTATATCGATGAATAGGGTTTTGAGGCATTAATGAAATTATTTACTGCCCTCCTTCTGCCTGGGCCTGTGTGTCTTCACCAGGTAGAGAACACACACGCAGACATACGCAGTCACACTCTCACACACACAGTCACACGCGCATACACATACACAGGCACAAGGACTCCCACATACGCACGCGTACACATCCACAAATACACATGCACACGCGCTCACATAGACGCACTCACACTCACTTAAATAATCGCGCGCACACACACGTTTACACAGGCACACAGGCGCGCACACATACATGCACACACTCTCTCACACACCTGGACACGCATGCACACTCGAACGTGAACTTGCACACACATGCACACATGCACTCTCATTTCAATCTTCAATACACACACATCTATACAATATATATATATATATATATATATATATATATATATTAAGAAATGGACAAGGTCCGACAATTGTTTACTTGTTTACATTTGATACGCCAGAGCAGTTATGAATGTACGGGATTCATGGAAGATTGGAGTTTATAAGCAGTAAATTCGACCTTGTCTACCGAACGGTTCTTTGTGGCCGAGCTGTCAAGGCACGTCAGCGTATATGACGGTTCCGTATAGGATGCAGGTTCGAATCCTGTCAAAGAACGAATATTTTCAATGAAAATTTCTCGGACATTCAGGCCGGTAAAATGTTATTTAATACTGTTTATCATAAACAGAGCATTTGCTTAAATACTTGTATCTATAAATAACAACGTTAAACATAAAAATGTCTTTAATAAATATATATATATATATATATTTCGTTGGATTTATGTGAGTCTGTGACCCTGGGTTTCACGCTTTTGCGATCGTCAGACAAACTGATTAGATGTCTGATGATCGCAAAAGCGTGAAACCCAGGGTCACAAACACACATCAATCTAACCAAATATGTTAGCTCTATCTCTGATATTGAGCGCTTTCTAATAAGTACCGCGCATATTATATATAAATAATTATATATATATATATATATATATATATATATGTATAATATGATATAATTTTAATTATTTTAAAAAAAAATATAATTCCTTCTCTATACAAGATTTCTCATGTTTCAAAAACAAAAGCGAAAAGCTGTGTTTCATCCTCAAGCTAAATTTTAGGGAATAACTAATCTTGAAGTTTATGCATCTTTATAAGCATATACATTCGTAGAATTAATTACTATGGAAAAAGGCTGAAGCGACCAGTCCAATAGGGGGCGTAAGGGTTAACAATTTGTATCAACTTATCAGTCACCCTCGGAATGAGGCCAAGCCAAGGCAGGTCCGGGCTGTCCATTTCAAAGCGAACGATGACATTCCTATACGCACGTCGTCTAGTCCGTCTCAGCGACAGAGAGTTATTGGCACCATTGTACGCCGTTAAGTGTCTAAAGAATTTTTTTCTCATAGGGCTGTTCGTACATAAACACGTCGCACTGAACTACAATTTGTTTTTTTTGATGACTTCATAATTTTTTAATATTATATATATATATATATATATATATATATATATTAGCTTTCCCCATCTCTCGCCCCCACCCCTTCTTCTTTTCTTTTCCTCTCCCTCCCTCTTATTCTGATCTTTAACATTAGATCGTCTATGCTGTGTGTATGTCACCACGAAATGTATCTTTAATGTATTAGACATCCGACAACATTCATGTTTCTCTCACTTAAACCTCTTCCATTCACCTCTCTAAAAATTCTCTCTGTTAAGGTTTAATCTCCCACCTTCCCTCGTCTGTTACCCCTCTCTTTAGCTCTAACATTCGGCCCTCACTCTCATATTTACAATCTCTCTAAATTCTGTTTTTTATTTCCGGGGTTGTTTTTTCTGTTTTCTTTTTTGAATTTTTAGGTCTGATGAATTGATCGTATTTACGATTCCAATGGAATAAATTATGACCATGGAATATTAGTGTTTAAGCCTTTTTATTATATCCTTATTCTGTCCTAGACATTGAGTTCTACCTGGATTCTATCCTCTTATATTTTTTATTAAAAAATATACATGTATGTATGCACGTATGTATATATATTAATATATTTTGCATATGTATGTGTAAATTTACCACTAATATTAACTATATATATATATATATATATATATATATATATATATTCATGCATTCCTTAATTTATATTGGCAGAGGTAAGAGTCGTTCTTGAAAGACAGATGAACAGATGTTCTTTGACAGATGTAAAATGAGTCATCTTCAAATTGGAAGAAAGAAAAGACAGCAGGAAGTGAAAAAGCTAAAAAAATAAAATAAAAATAAAAAATTAAAATAAATAAAATAAAAAAATATCCGCCAACAAAAATAGCAAACAAAAACAAAAAAAAAACAAACAATAAAAAATAAAAAAAATAAAAAGACGGCATTTTAACGACGTACACGCAATCATAAATACTCATGCATTAATGCCGAGGCGTAAATCATTCACGTCTTTCGAGATGTGCAAATCGTTGCTAGCTGCAGGTAGGAGCATTTGTAAAGATGGCGGTGATGCGTTATCGTCGATATGCTGACATCAATATTAATGACATCAAATGGGCTCCATTGCTGCACCGATCAGCGACAAATGGTAGGAAAAAACGGCGGGAAGGAAAGAAGTAGAAGAAAAAGGATGGAAGAGAAAATGGCGGATGATAAAGAAAGAAAAGTAAGGAATTAAATTGTGGATAAAATGAATAAATATGCAGGAAAAAAAGGAAAATTTAAAAGAAATTATATCAATAAGAAAAAAGGGTAAAGAGAAGAACGAGGTGAAAGAAAGAAATAAAGACAGAAATAAAAAAGAAAGAAAAAGAAAGGAATTATTACAAATGTCATAAGAAAGACAGGAAGAAAAAAAAAGAATGGTTAGAAAAAAGAAAGATAAAAAGAAAGAAAGGAATAAAGAAAGAAAAAAGAAAAAATTAAAGAAAGGAAATAATAAATATTCAGAAGGACAAGAAGAAAGAAAGAAGGGGGAGAAAAAGAAAAAAAGAAAGAAAATAAAAAGAAAGAAAGGAAGAAAGAAAAATGAAAGAAGCGAAGAAAGAAAAAGAAAAAATAATGTAAATAATAAAAGTCAGAAACGGACAGGAAAAAAAAGAAGATGGCGTAGAAAAAGAAAATTGAGAGAGAGATAAAAAGAAAGAAAGGAATAAAGAAACAAGTTAAATACTTTGAGTTTAATTCGTTGCTTTTCTTTTTTTCTTACCTGTTTGAGGTTATTTTATGTTATTCTGATTTTATAATTTATCAAACTAAAAGGAAGTACTGCAAAAAAAAAAAAAAAAAAAAAAAAACGAAATGAAATGAATGAAAGAAAAAAAGAAAGAAACAAAATAATAAAAAGACAAAAGAACGTCGGGAAGAAAAAAAAGAAGTGTTAGAAAAAGGAAAAAAAGAAAGAAAAATAAAAGCAAAGAAAGAAAGAAAGAAAGAAAGAAAGAAAGAAAGAAAGAAAGAAAAAAGAAAGAAAGAAATGGAAAAGAATGGAACGTGTGAGAATATTAAGAAAGAAAGAATGAAATTAAAATGAGAAAATAAATAAAGAAAGAAAAAGAAAACAAAAGAAAAAGAAAGAAAGAAAGAAAGAAAGAAAGAATGGAGGTGTGAGAATATTAAGAAAGAAAGAATGAATTAAAAATGAGAAAATAAAGAAAGAAAGAAAGAAAGAAAGAAAAAAGAAAGAAAGAAAGAAAGAAAGAATGGATGTGTGAGAATATTAAGAAAGAAAGAATGAATTAAAAATGAGAAAATAAAGAAAGAAAGAAAGAAAGAAAGAAAGAAAGAAAAAAGAAAAGAAAAAAAAGAATGGATGTTTTAGAATATTAAGAAAGAAAGAATGAATTAAAAAATGAAAATAAATAAATAAAGAAAGAAAAGAAAGAAAGAAAAAAAAAACATTTGATTTTTATGAAAGGAAAAAATGAATCGAAATAATAAAATGTCTGAAGAACGACAGGAAGAAAGAAAGAAGGGGAAGAAGAAAGCAAGCAATAAATAAATAAATGGAGAAAGAAAGAAAGAAAATGTTAAAAGGAAAAAGAATGAAAGCAAGAGATGAATAAATAAAGAAAAAATAAGCGAAAAAAGAATCAGGAGAAAGAAAGAAAAAACGAAAATGCGAAAAAGAATGAAGAACGCAAAGGAAAGAATCAGCTATTATGGAAGCAATAAAGAAAGAAAAACAGAAAAAAAAAATGAATGAAAGTAAACGAGAAAAAAATAACAAAAGAAAGCAAAATGAATGAAGCATAGATGCAGGAAGCACAATGAAAGAGAAAAATCAAGAAAGAAAAAAAAAGAAAGCTAAAAGAAAGAAAGGGAGAAAGAAAGGAAGGAAAGAAAGATTAAATAAAAAGAAAATTAAAACGCAGGAAAGAAATGAATGAATGAAAGTAGGATTTGAAGGAAAAAGTTCAAAATTAACGACGAATAAAAGAAAGAAATTGAATAAGGATTTGAAGGATTAAATAAAAAATTAAAATTAAAGAAGAAGAAAAGAAAAGAGAGCAATGAAGGAAGGAAAAAAAAGAAAGGTTACCCGTTTATACAGCAAATCGTCTGTTAAGAAGAAAAGCAAGAAATCCAAAAGAGAATGAGGAAGGAAGCAAATATAAGAAGGGAAAAGAAAGAAAGAAAATGAAAGAAAGAAAGAAAGAAAGAAAGAAAATGGTAGCAAATGAAATAAGCTGAAGGAGGAGTTATTATATGGTGAGAGGGATAAGAAAAAAATAAATAAAGAAAAAAATACACTGAAGCAATATGGGATAGAAAAGAAAGAAAGAAAAAATAAAGAAAGAAAGA